TAATATATTATTTCTTATTTACTCAACACTTTATGAACACTCATTGTACCTTAATTTGTTCATACAAAATTTTTTGTAGTAAGGCATTTTGTCACTAGGAGGGATAGGATAGGTACTTATATAAGTAACTAGTGGTATTTTAATTGTGGTTAAGAAGCAACGATTGTACCATGTGGTTGATGTCACAGCTCATGTATTAGTTAATGAATGTTTCTCTTTCTATCACAAATTTTTATTTTGCTCATAATTAATTACCTAAAATATCTTTGGATAAAAAAAAGTTACTACATGGTGAGATAAAAATATCAAGTGTCCAAACATTGAGTGCTTTAAGGGAATACTCATATATATGAGTACTCTAACATAACAATTTATTTTATTACAACAATATCACAATTTCTCTTGGCCATTAGATACCAAATTAGATGGTTTGAGGTGTGTTGTGAAGTTTGAGATATTCATTTTGAACTTTGAGTATAGTCAATGACACCCATACAACCTCTTTATTTGAAATCTAGCGGATAACTGTGATTTGTGACCTCCTTGCACTAAAAGTAAATGATCTATTTATAAACCATTCCAATTCCAAATCTCATTTTTAAGAGTGAGATTTAAGTGTTAGTAAATATAAAGTTAAAATTTTATCTTTTGGAAATAATCATCTAGTGAGTTTTAGTTAGTTCCCAAAAAATTAGATTCAAAAAATCCACCCAAGGAGTTGTTTGCTTGAGGGAGTATATAAATAGTATGCTCCCACAACATAGTATATGTGCACATGAAATTTATTAATTAGGAAATTTGAAAATAAAAAACTTAATTTGGAAAATTTTGAATAAGTTTACAACTTAATTTGGAAAAATATGAATAAGATTACAACTTTATTTGTAGAGTTTGTAGATTTAATTTTATCTCAAAATATGTCCCACTTTTTGACATTATCTTAAAAAGTATGTTAAATCTAACTATCAGCTAAAATAAACGGTGTGAAACATTTCAATCTTACTTCTTTAAATAAGTTTGTAGCTTATATAAACCTCACCTTTTATATTTTATTTATTTTTATATACGATAAGCACCACCTACAGGTGTTTGACAAGGTTGGGCAATTTGATAGAGAAGATAGGTTTCAGTAGTTGCTCTTGTTGAATCCTCAGAGCGTTAGGGATAATATTTTATCGGGTGATGTTTCAATTGTAGGACCTTTAGCGGATTGATTCCAACTTATTTAGTCCATTCCACTTTAGCGAGGTGAAACTATTGTCATGTTTATGGTTTTCTTTTTTTTTACCTTAGAAAAAAGAAAAAGTTTTAAAGGAACTTTTTGAACACTACGGGCAAGTTTGGACTACAATTAGCATTTAATGTGAGTCAAATAAAAAAATGTTTTATTTTGAGGAAATTATAAAAAAAAAATGGCTCGATTTTTTCTAAAATTTCAAAAGCCCTCATTTTTATAAAATTACACCTATAGCCAAATTTCATTTTTTTTTTAACCCAAAATGCATTTCACAACACTAACAGGGCATGATGCCCAAACAACTACATCTTTGCCCATCATGTGCCTCTTGGAGTTGTGAATATGAATCACGACCCTAATTTGATTGTGATGGTGCATCACGACATGAGGGAAGTACCTTGGGCACCCAAGTTGGTGCCTATAGTATATAGAGGGCATTTTGGTTATAAAAAAAATGAAAAATTGGGTAAGGAGGTAATCTTTTTTAAATTATGGTACTTTTTAATTTTGAGGAAAAATAGAGATATTTTTTTATAGTTTCCCTTTATTTTGTAGAGAGATTAAATGGACTCAATGGCTTATTTTTGGCATTTCTCATACAAGTCTAAAAAATAGACATAAACAAATATGTTGCAAAATGAAAATTGGGGAATTATAAAAAATATACCTTAATTTTTGGCTTATTAGAATAAAAAAAATCTCATACTTTCCAAAACCTCATTCCTGCCATTTTTTCACTTTTTGCCTTATTTTAGCCAAAAATAGCCTTCACGGTAGTCGTATGACCATGAAGGCATCATGGTATACTCAATGCCATGATGATCTTACTATTTTGAACCGTCACGGCACTTAAAATGCTGTAATAGCCATGAAAGGTATCACGGCACTTAAAATGTCATAATGACCACAAGGCATATCACGATACTTAGTATACCGTGACGTTCATGAGAAATATCATTGTACTTAAAGCGCTTTATGGTATTAGATAGTGTTATAAATCACCTATGATTATTTCTAAACAACATTCACATGCTTTTCTCCTTCCCAAAACCCTATACTCCCATCCATCACACACACACACACACACACTCTCTCTCTCTCTCTCTCTCTCTCTAACCTCTCATCCATTTGTTATCCTATTCTTCTACTCCTCAATCTCTGAACAAAGTCCATAAGAGCTATTTCCCAATCTGTGAGCGCCAAATATACACACCAACATCATTTTACAATTATGTCCTCAAAATCGTCAAGCATTTAATTATATTATCTTGGATGTGCGATGACAATATTTTGTATAAAATATTATGTAGTTTTTTTCCATAATACTTGATGCAGTTGGGTTGGCCATTGGATTTTTTTTCATTTAAAATATTGCACAAATGAGTTTTAGACATGTGTCTGTATTGCAATCTAATGTCCCTCTGTAATGCTTCCTCTGCATTATGTATAAATATTTTCAAACTTTTATACTTGCATTGCTCTCTTACAATGTGTTATTGATTTCAAATATTTTCATTTCATATTTATTTCCATCTGAAATTGGATATCTTAGCTGTGATTAGGCTTGCATGCTCCAATAACGGGTGAAGATAGAGGGAAAATCGCTTTATATTTTAGTGGTTCTTTCAAGAGGAGTTCTAATAATGGACGTCTTTTCTATTATGGTGGGGACTTGAAGGTTACATTTTTTAGGCAGATTGATTCCTTCGACCAAATAAAGGTTCTCGTGTCAAAAGTAACAAATTATGCCCAAATTACTATAACTACTAGGTATATTGACCCAGAATTTTCAAGTAACATGAATATGGTACGTATTGGCAATGATGACGCAAATATGTTGGAAGAGCTTGCTCCCATTGCTATGTACTTATCAAACGGACCTATTGAGTTGGACTCTACGAAATATCGACTACCAACACTGCTAAAAAACAGTCCATCGAGATTAGCCAAACAAGAAGTTTGCTATAGAATTTATTAACTTTTTATTTAACAATTCTTTTAGTGCATTGACTGAATCAAAGTTTGAGTACATGTCCAAGATTAAGAGCGCAAATGCTGAGCCTTATGAATGGATCATAAAACCGCCTACACATTATTGGGCACATGCATACTTTCAGGATGTAGATAGAATCATCTGACATTGAACATCCCCGAATCATTTAACAAGTGGATATTAAAGGCTAGGGAGAAGCCCGTCATTAAGCTCCTTGAATGCATAAGGGTCTCATGGGCAAATTTTCTAACAAGATGGCCAAGTCCTTAGAACGAAGAGGGGTGCTTATCCCAAAAGCCCAAGAGATAATGAATAAGAGGAGGAAGAAGTCAAGATTCATTCATACAAGCCTATGGGTACATGGTGGTATGTATAAGATCCATGCAGATAAAAAATATATTATTAATCCAGCGACATATACATGTAACGGTCGGGTGTGGCAGGTTAGTGGATTGTCGTGTAGTCATGCGATTTTTGTTATAGATCATAGGCATCACTATTTTATAGAGTTTTGAGGTGTTTTTTTCATAGTGGATATCTACCGTAGAGCACATTCTCTTCCCTTCAACTATGTGCCTGATGGACTTAAGTTGCCAGTGATTGTCTATACAACATTATTGCCTCCAACCGCAACGCAAACCACGAGTCGTCCAAAGAAATGATACAGACAAACAGAGTACAAAGAGATATAACATCTTTAAGTTTAAGTATTGTGGGGTCATAGGCCATGCCGGAAGACATGCAAATCAACTCTATGAAATGCATATAGTATAAAAGGCCAGTAGTGCCAGTTGATATACCTTTTTGTTTCTTAATTTATGTTTCAAAACATTTCATGATGTAAAGAGGTCCGTAGTGCCTGTTGATATGCCTTTTGCGGCGTGTTTGAAATTTAAATGTTATTTTGATGTTAGGTGCCTTGTAAATAGTTTTGTGACATCTAATTTACGTTTTGTAGTCGTTACTCTCTCTCTCTCTCTCACTAGGTTATTAGGTTCTTAGGTAGGGGACTGGTACCTTGTGTTTAACATTGCTAAGTCAATATCTTGGACTGTGTTGGTGTGGTCCCTTTTGCCTTCTAGATCTGAGAAAGATCTTAAATTTTGGAAATTTCAAATATCATGATTGTTAAAATTCTGTGATGTATTCTCTTAGCATCACGACGCTTCAAAGACCTTGATGCTTAAATTTTCAGTAACTTAGAGCATCACGGTGTTTAAAGTGTCGTGTTGCTTAAGGGTGTCATCACGGTACCCTTCAAACCATGATGATTGAAAAATCCAATAGCTTTTCATGCATCACGGTTTGAAGGATACCGTGACGAGTCCCTTGAGCATCATGACCTCTAAGCATTACGACACTTTAAATACCGTGATGTTCAAGAGTTATTGGAAATTTAGGCATCACGATATTTAAAGTACCATAATTTTTGGAAATGTTGCCTTTCAGGCTTTTTTCTCCAAGGAATTTTTTTTTCAATAATGGTACAAAAGTCATATTGTATAGTATAGGTGAAATCCCATGTGATTGACATGAGGTAAT